CATGGGCCTATATATATATAGCCCATCACCTTATGGGCCTATATATATATCTTCCGGACTCATCTCTTACCAAAAAAACAACCGACACTAAAAATACCTTAAACCTACTCCAGGGAAACCTTTTTAAGCTAGTAACGAGTAAGCTCACCTAAATACTAGTAAAAGTATTTTTGATTGCTAAAAAATAGTAATTAAAGATTGGATAAATTCTTGTGGATACAAAAAAAAAAAAGGAAAAAAGATGGAAGATATAATAGTAATCCTCGTTTTGATTTTTCCATATCTCCCATCAACATTGCAATGCCAAGCCCATTTGACCATTTAATTCGAATACCACTGATGCCTACAGGCAATGCCGTCTCAAAACCATAAGGTCAACAAAATTTGAACATGTATTAGTTCCACAATTTGAAATCGAATTTGAATCGCAAAATATTTGGTCCATACCATCAAATTCAAATCGTTCCACAGAGACAAAAATTGTCTAAGGAAAGATTGGACAAAACTGATTTGATATATCTTGGAAAGATGAGGATAATAGTTTAAAATTACGGTGTGTTTGGTAGTCGATCCACTGAAAAATCAAGTCTTGGGCTGTATCACATTTAAACCAACCTCTACTAATGAATAGTATTTCTGAGTTTCGGATATTTCAGTACAACTATACATATTTTCAAAAACAATATGCTACTTTGATTTGTCGTACTAAATAAACATCGAGTTTGCAAAATTTAGTAATGTGACTGAATGACTTGGTTTAAAAAAAGCATAAAATTTAAGATTGATATGTATTCCAGTCAAGAATACTAGAATATGGAACTCTCCGAGACAATTTGATATTCTACAACCATAAAGCAACAAAACTTTGACATAAAACAACCAAGTGCAAACCCAGAAACCACATAGAGCCAGCATAATCCATGCGAATAACGGGATATTCATAAACTTAAAAGAGTTGATCAAAATCATAGCTTTTTAAGAAGTTTCGATGTCTGAGAGATCCAAACCTTCTCGGTAAAGCTCAAAGTCATTAGGGCTCCACCTGCAGACTAAGTTCAGTTTGAATGTAGCCATCTTGATTCCCAACAGACGCTGCATTGATATTAGAAAAAGTATCAGCAAATTTTCTAGTTATGCAGAAAACAAAGGAAAGGGTTTTTGGAATACAGATTCTCATTACCAAAATGCGGGCAGATTCAGGTGAAAGAGGTTTTCCTTCTTCACAAACAACAAACTCAGAGAGTAACTCTACCACACCTGCATATCGATAAGCAAACAAGACAATTAGCTTTCTAGATCAAGATTTACAGACAGAAACTTAAATGGTGAGACAACAAACCTCTGTTTAGCCGAACAGGCATTCCCTGTTTCCTAAGAAACGGTTCCATCTCATGTGGGAACTGTTCTAGAGGACCTTCTTTCAGTTCAACCTATCAATTTAGTTGTACCGAAACAGAAGATACATAAAAGGTTCTTGAAATAACAAAGAGATACAGAATCTGATCACATTCGAGCTTCTTCGGTTATCTAGAAACAACAATATATAGAGATGACAAAAGTTGTATTTAACAAACCGTTTCTCCTGCGGTGCTTCCGGTCCTCGAAAAGTCGGAATCCTCATAAGCATTAAATAAGCTGCAAATGGAAGCATTGTGAACAGTTACAGTTAAAGCCTTTCACTCTTGTTTACGCCAAAGCAAAAGAGAAAGAAAAGAGAAGGCTTCAAGAGATAGATAGATACCTTTCGACCTCTTCCTTTGGCATATCTGTAACAAGAAGTCCAGCATCACCATGAAGCAGCTGAAACAACATTTCACAACACATGTAAATGTAACTGACAAAGAAATGTCCAAGTAATATATAAAAAGCAGAGTACACAAACCTTGGAGGCTTTAAAGATGCCAGGACGTATTTCATCAGAAGCAGAGCGACCAAGAGCAACTTGCATGACTTTGTTTGAACCAAGGAAGAACCTGGACGAAAAATGGTATCACCAAATTACAAATCAAAGACAAAATGAAAAAGATACTTGATGCTTCTATAACTATCTCAAGTACATCTAGAAAAGGAAGAAATCGGAAGAACAAAAAGAAGAAACTGACCTTCCATTGTGCCTAAACTGCTGTCTAAACTCTTTGAATTTGATATTTCTCATGTTTTCAAAAGAGAAAACATAGACAGACTTGTATTTTTCCACAGCCTCCCTGATTCCATTTACAATACATTC